TACAATAAATTTAACTATACCCCTGTTTATCTTTCACTTAAAAAAAGTGGAGCATCACCGCTGTTGTCTAACTGACGCTAGCTACAGTGTAGTCGGTTTGGCTGATTAGATTTGCAACTATCGCTTCCAAACAGAGAAGACTGAAAAATTACAACTTTTGGCCTGTCAACTCTACATTCTCTTTTCACAGACAAGTAGTCTAGCAGCATACGATGGCACATATATATATGACTACAACTACATGACTATATGACTACATGTACTCTCTTCATGCGGACGTACACAGCGACCTCCGATACACTTACTGTTTAAATAAGTGAATCTTTAAGGTACTTTATTTTTCGAAATCCAAAGTTAGTTTTGACATCGTGGAATATTCAAATAAAAGCAAAGCTACATTTTCGAGTTGACTATTGCAATGCTTAAAAACGTTTCACGAGTACGACTGAGATATATCATTCGCCATGTGGGGGTATAGCTCAGTGGTAGAGCATTCGACTGCAGATCGAGAGGTCCCCGGTTCAAACCCGGGTGCCCCCTGACTCCCTTTTATATCTACTCTTATTTTTTCCTTTTTGGTTATATTTTCCGCTAAGAATATACTACTCTCTTTATTCTCACCACATCTGTACTACATTATTATTAGAAGTAAGATTAGCTAAGCTGTACACACATTGTTTTTCTTACCGGTCAAGGTACATTCTACACGGCACGTAAAACTGTGACCAAATAAATCGCCAACCAGAAATGTCACTGATAGATATCAGAGTGTTTTTAAATTACGAAATAGGTTTACACGGCACTGTGCCCTTAAAATAAAAGTTTTCGAAAGAAACAGATTAGTTCAGATTCAGAGTTTGTGCTCATGGAAACAATAAAGCAAGAGACTTATTCTTGAAATATTACATAAATACATATTGGGTAAGGCAATCATGTAGTTAACGAGTTAAACGAGTGAATCTTAATCATACATGAATAATGCTGCTATGTTAATTAAAGAAATCTATTTCAAAAATACGATGTACACAGCGGATTTTGCTAAGACAACTTGGCAGAAATGCGAAATGGGTACAAATAATCGATGTACGATTGTCAAAAAGTTCAGCTCCGGAGGGTAGAACTTTAAGAAGATTAACCCATTCGCTAGTCATTGCCAGCTGAACGCCTGTTTTTCAATTAACAATGTTAGTTATGAGTAAATTGTATAAATGATAAATAAGCTGATTTCTGATTTTTCCTTACTTATAAAAACGCTAACTTTCACCATAGTTATCGTAATTTAATGGGCGATTAATGTAAAAAACGCAACTTCATAAATTCTCCTCTCCAGTCGCTATATACGTCAAATCATAGGCCGCTAATTTTCATTGCTTACCACGTATCTCATGCAAAATCATACGCTAATAAAAGCGCAACGATATATGATAATAAGGATATAAATAAAAGATAATAAATAAAGATGCCACCTTTTGAATCATTGTGCCACGAATGTAGCAATGCCATATTTTAATACATGATGTCCAATTACTTTTTTTTAACCTTAACCTTATAGCTACAATCCTAAGGTAATTATGAGGCAGACTTACTTTTATATTTACCAATGCCTACAGTCATCACCTCCCTTATACTAAGTTAATGTGTGATATGTAATGATTCTTTAGCTCTTGCTAGTTATGAATCATATCGTAGACCTATCATAGATCTCCTTTTATTTTCGTCCACTTATCTTGATCGAAGGGGAAAATTTGCATCCGATTTCACTACTTCGCGTAGCGTAAGTGTGGTCCTCGTTAGTATAGTGGTCAGTATCCCCGCCTGTCACGCGGGAGACCGGGGTTCGATTCCCCGACGGGGAGTACGTTTTTCGCAGGAGTGTCTTTATTTTCCGGTTTGCAACTATGCATACTGAGAATACGGTTACAGTCGAGGTAAGGCTAACAATTGGGCCATCTTAATCAAAAAACCTCGTTAAGCTTTGATAATCGGATGGAAAATCGGATTTGGCAATGGGAAATCACTACCTATAAAGAATTCTTGGGCGTATTTTCTAACTTTATGACTCTCATTGCCCCTTGTAGCACCCGTTTACTAACGTCAAATTCTTACTTGTCAACAAAATGAACATTTCTAAACAATCAAGTAGTTTAGCGTTATAGACTGCATATACGAATTAATGTTTCAGAACAGATGCTTAATTCACCCAACTGTTAGGATCATCTAACAAACAACTACTAGAAATGTGTAGAAATGCTATGATTGACCTACCAATTTTAGAGGACTTTGTGCTATGTGGATACGTGACATAGTGGACGTGCGTCTTCATTGCTGAGAACAATGAGTTTATACAAACTCAAATGCAGGAATGATCAGGGCATCTGCTGTCAATACAAATTCGAGGAATTCGTGTCAACAAACGCTATAGCAGTTTTCATCAGCCAAAAAAAGTCCAAATATGAATAATAGTTTTTCGAAGTTTTCTGGAACGTTTCTGGTCCCATTAAACTGCAAGTAGGAGATGACATGTCTCATAACCGTGAAATATAGGAAAAACTATTAATAAAAGAATAGACTAAAATCTACGCCATCGTATCAAAAAGCACAAATCAGGTTTTTCTACAAAGTCGATATTTTCATGTTACATGTAAGTATAAATAATTTTATAACATATATTTAGGCGCACTTTTAGTTTAAGCTACAACAATCGTTAGTACATACAAGGTTGGACAAGTCATCGAAGGGAACTTATCAATTAATTATCGACGTTCCAAATGCATTTTTGTATGTATACGTCAAATGTAATAGTTTGAAGTAGTAGTAATAAAACGAAGTGAACATACTTTTATTACAAATAGATAATTATAATGATTGTGACAAATTTCCCTTATGGATATTAATTAAAATAATTTTTATCGGTTTATTCAACGAATTTATCAGTTTCTCTTATTTTGAAAGATTTCAGGCATTTTAACTATACTGCGCTCTTCCATTCAATAGCTTGCCCCATAGAATTTTTGATAGCTGAAAAGCGGCCGGTAGCTCATCATTGGTGGTTTCGACGACTGAATATTGCAACTATTATGATGATATTATTTCTTGCGTCTAAACGATTGGCATGATTTAAATGTTCTGATGGAGATTATTGTACAGAAAATCCAAAAATCATAAGATTTAGCTAGATTACCCTCCGTGTAAAAACTAAAGTACTGAATCACATTTCTTAGGCTGTAATGAAAGTGTAAAACATCCTAGTGGTACTTGAAAATTACGTTTGAAATTGCTCAGTTTATACTTTTTCGAGCAGCGTGGCTTCTCGAAACGATTAGACGCGTTCCTCGTTAGTATAGTGGTCAGTATCCCCGCCTGTCACGCGGGAGACCGGGGTTCGATTCCCCGACGGGGAGAAAAACCTTTTACTGGCTAATAATTCCACAAACGAAAACAGAAAAACACCTTACAGGAAACACATATACGTCATGTAATCAACAATACTTATTCACTGGCGCATCGTTTTCGTACACTTATTGTTCGTGTTCCATTTAGATATCCGGAAAATTCGACAAACTTTAGAAGAGGGAATTGAATTTGCATCAATTATGACTTCCTTTGCTTCTGGTGGGCTACCCGGTTTCTTTTCAATTGGAGTTTTGTGGCTTTTTCTTGAAAAATCTTTGACTCTGTTGTTTTTAAAATATGCTCTATACTCTTTATTAATAGGATTAACATAATTATTATGGAGCGTAAAATAAATAACACACAACACTTCCACAGCGCAAAACATTCTCATTTTAAAATTTGGTTAAAAAAAGCAGAGAGCACAAATAGCAGCATTAAAAGTACTCCGTTCGCGACATGTTAGGTTGAAGGTTTATAGGTTGCCGGTTTCGCAAAACAATTGCCTACTTGCAAAAGTTTAGACACCAGAAAGTGGACTGCACATGTATTCATGACAATCGACTGGTAATAACACTTTTACGAGACTTCCTTCTTTACCCTAAGTTTGCCACTCAAGATCAAATCAAGTAAGAGATCGAATCCTAAGAGCTGATATTTGTTTCAATACAAATTTCTGCTTTTCGGTTATTTTAATCTGCGAATGCTTCCGTAGTCTAATAATTTCAGACACGGCATTAGCACCTGCTTAAACAAATACTTCCAGTTGTACGTCCGGTATCAAGGGTTGCTTTCGACGGCTGACTTGCGGCACGAAACGAGGTTTGTCTTCACACGGTTTCCAATCTAAAGCGCCAGTTTGAAAGAAATCATCCTTGTGACTATTTAAAATATTAATTTAGTCAAGAAAATTTGCCTGTAAATTATGGAAACAATTATTGAGCATAAAATAATTAGCATAGAACTTCTGTCTGCCATGTCTATGCAGTCCGATAATCTCAACTTTTCGACAATTTAAAATTATCTTCCGATGCACTACTGACCCGATGTGTTTAAGCGCCAATGTTTTAGTTAAGCATGCAGCTGGAGTCGATCAAAGATATGTTCTTTACCCGTAAACTCATAATTCAACCTCTGTATAGCTTCTAAAGTTTGTAGAACAAAATGATTTTGTAGCTTACAGGTCGTCCTGGCAAAAAAGTAATTACTCAATAGTACTTACTATGAATACTGTTTGTCTTTGTCATTAAAATTGTTGCTCTGAAAATTCATGTCTTACAGGGCTATAAACATTCTTCAATACTTAATATCTGATTCATAGATTTCCCACAGATATGTTTAAAGAACAGTCAGATATAACAGGAAATCACGCATGTGGTAGCGGTACTGTACTGTAAACGAGTAAGTGAATAGGAATTTAGGAAAAAATGAAAATTGTGGATGCTAATAGTTCCATGTTAAGTATACCATGAAACACAATGATACCCCTTGAAATTTTAAATTTCTACGATCATCACATCGTAACGGATCTCACGCCATTTCATATATGAATTCATATTCAACTCTACCTGTATATTTCATTATCATTCTTATGAACCTATTCCAAAAAGCATCCCTGGCGGGAGTCGAACCCGCGACCTTTGGATTAGAAGTCCAACGCGCTATCCACTGCGCTACAGGGACAGGCCACCGCAGCGTCGCGATGAGCGGATCAGATTCAAACAGTCGAGGCATCATCACAAATAGAGCGTGACAGTGGCAGATGAAACCCATTGCATATGCCGATAGCCGCAAACAAGTTTAACCAACTGTGGTTGTCATAGATATAATTTCGACGCGTTCGGCCCTTGGCAATTAATATTTTTCCTAGAAATATTAAACTAACAGAGAGAGTCAAGTGAGACCCACAGAAAAATGAAAATCGTTTTAAGATTTCTAATCTTTCTGATGCACGCTAACTGCCTTATTTTGGCGAAAAAAAATATATCTTGTCAAGCTAACAATTAAAGAAGTTTTCCGTCAGCGTCGGGAAAACCTACGCAGCAAAAGAAGAGATAGAAGATAATTTGCATCTTCAACGTAAATACCGTGGCAGCTATTAATGACGCCATCATTGCTTGATGAATACAGCGGGCGGCGACGCGCGAGATATTAAAACTCTGATATATATGTATATATATATAACACCTGAATTGTAGATCGAAGAAGTTTTAAAAAAGTAGTTTATAGGGGTATCTAAATAACAAGATCAACCAAACAGACCTGTTGCGGTACTTCGCCAGTAAAAACAGAACCGTAATTGAAAAGAAATGACATACATTTGCCATGTATATACGAAAAAGATACGAGAGGTAAAACAGATGCACGAGTATAAAACGGAAGGAGGTTTCTTAATAAAATCGAGAAAGACCAGTGGAAAAATTGCGTCGGCCGGGAATCGAACCCGGGCCACCCGCGTGGCAGGCGAGTATTCTACCACTGAACCACCGACGCGACTGATATACGAAGCACCCTCGCACGAGAGTCAACTGGACCATAGTTTCGTTGGAGCTATGAAACAGCCTTCGACATTGCACTACACATGTTGAAGAAGATTACTATTCTACTACATTAACATCAGCTCCACAAAAAAACAAACAGGAGCTATTAAAATATAATTACAGACCAATCATAGGACAATCGTAATATTACAAACAATTGAAAAAATAACAAATAAACATATTTGCATTAGAATCGTAACAATATCTATTATAGCAGCAATTATGAATTTCCTATACCTGAACGCACTATTTACAAAGAGATCCTAAAAATCAAAATCCGAACTCGTATAATGTATAAATACAATATTAGAGACACTTCGAATTCCTGCTTTGTGAACTGTTTATATATTACTAATGAAGAAAAGGACCTAAGGATGTCTAATTATCTAGGATCTCTTATTATCTAGGAACGTTCTTCAGAGCAAAACGGAAAAAGACATATGGTAATACTCGTTGTATTTTCTTAAAAGTAAGGGTCATCACTGCGATTTAATCGTTGATGACAAAACTGAGGAAATTTCTATGTTATGCATTGACGGTTTACACAACGACCTTTTATTCAGATGAGATTCACTTTCCATTATTAGGTTATTTATCCTCCAAATTCTCATTATCTTTACCAGTCGTGGGTAAACTATCCTGAACAGTGCGGTTATCAGAATACGATAGGGTAGTTTGTCCAAATCATTGATTTGTTGTAGAGTGCTACACAATAATGTTAATTTGGGGAACTGCCGTCGTATATACAAAATTCGCGCAGGTTATGTATTACGTATGGTTGGCGGGATTTAAAGCAGTAAGCTTTGTCTTTTTTTGAATCATTGGCTTGACCGTCCAAGACACCGCGTAGACGCACTAAACAAACAACTTCGCTGTCTAAAATCAGGTTCGTTAACCAACGACTAAAAAAACGTTAACTTTGGCGTTGATCAAAGACCAGGTTTGTTTGATCCTTTTGTTCGCTCCCTTTATGCCGCCGCTTTCAGTGGCGCCCCTTTTTATTAACGTGTCTGCCACATCATTGTTAACGCTTATCAGATACGTATACATTGAAACCCGTCATAGTTTTCAAAGCTGGATTCATTTCAAGATCTTCATGGGGAGTTGTCGTGCATATATAGCGAAAAGTGTCTGCACTGATACAACTCGTGTAAAAAAAAAATATATATATATATATATAACAAATAGATATAGTAAAGAGGGATAAAAGGAAAACTATTTTTTGGCTGCATATATATGTGTCTATTTAAATTTTCTATTTCTAAAATATTGCTTGAGATAAGTAGTAACTCACATCTGTGATGTTCAGGTTTAATCTTACGCAGTTAGTTAGAATTGTATATTTTACTCGTCATAGACATAATGTTGTGTTACATTATAACATTCTATCTGAAGCAATGCTGAACAGCAGTACCAGGTGTAAAGCTTGAGAGATGACACAGCTTTTTGATGCTGTCGTTGATAATACGAATTCGCTAGTTAACCCTAGATCCTGTCCTCGATATGGGGCGGTGCAAGATTCAATTAAAATAGAACTATGGTTTTAGAACATTTTTGTAGGCGAAGTAGGCCTCTGTCTATCAATGGCAACATAAAATAATGATACATTCTTTTTTATCGATTGTATGTAAGCTCCGAACTAACCCGCAAGCTTGGTTTACTTAGCAACGCAAGCCAACATGCCGCCTTTGTTGACCATCCATAACCGATTAAAAAACATTAATACTATATTTAACATTTATAATAGGAACATAAGTAGCTAGTGTAACTGAAAAAAAAAGACATCGTCCAAACACAAACAAAGAATAACCTTACGCATAGATATTATTCATACTTTAATACTTCACAACCGGTTACATAAAGTACAGTAAGATGTACATACTACAATATAAAAATTACATATACTGTACCAAAGTTTGTTTAAAGGTAACATTGACTTTGCTTCATTATAAGAATCATTGGATATTATATCCATATTACTGCTTCTATGGCACTTCCCAATTAATCGGCAGTCAGCAGCTTTCGTTCTTCAGCTCCTCTTTTTATTATACGATGGCATCCCTCCATTAGAATTTACCTGTAAACAGTACCAGGATTCAATGAAAGCGCTGAAAAGTTGACTTATTTTGAACTTTTCATACGTTTGGTGATGTTTATTTACCCGCCACTGCGTTTAAATACCCTCTCCATCAGCCCTCTCCCCTGGGTCGCTGGCGGGTGGTTTCGTTTTCGCAAGAAGAACGCTGCTGGCTCTCCTGATCGCTGCTGATGAGCTACCGCGTCCGGTCCGGATATTACCACTACCATTAACCATTCTCACTCTTCTGCGAGCACTATTAGTGGTGGTGTAGAAACTCTATGCTGTCTGTTTGGGTGACTCGGCTGTTAGAGGTGCTGTATCTAGCATTCTCTAATTATATGAAAGGTGACTGCCTAGTGATTTGAGCGAGCGATCAGCAATAGCGGCCTGGCACTGAAACCGATGCACCAATAAGTAACTGGTAGGTTGACCGGCACACTGGCTGGCTAACCCCGACTACACGGCGGCAGCAGGCTAAGTCGACTCGACGGAGGTTGTAATGGTGGTCAGTGCGGAGCATAGAAGAAGCAGTCGAGTGTTGTTTCGTGACGAGGCCAACATAGTATGGCGACAACCAGCGTACACTATGGCGAAGAATACTAGCACGACGACAAAAGAACAGCCGTACCAACACTGACGAAAAAGCTGAGTGCAATGGTCAGTGAGCAACTCTAAACTTTACGACTTCTACCGCCACCACAATTACTCTACGTACGGTCGGAGGGAACAAACAGTGTACGACTTTGCGTTACCATCATTACCACTATGGCCATCGCTGGTACAACTGAGACCCTACAACTAAAACAGTTGCTTCTACGCATATGACCTATAACTGGTACGGTTTCTAAGCACTTTACTCAGACGGGTGGTTCAGATCAATCGATGAAAAATTGTGGGCGTATCGTTGGAAGTAACTACTTAATGCGCCATTTGCTCCTATAAGTTTGTGTAATTTTCGACACGTTCCGTTTTGAGGTTGAGCAAACAAAAAGAACAGCAAGTGTATCATCGAAAAGGAATAAACGAGCGTGACGTCCTCGTATAATTCATCCAACTGTATTCGTATCGTCCGTTGTTTTGTACCAATACATCGCTGAAAATTGTGCGTATCTCTGTTCACCATCAGGTCAAATTGGGTGCTTTTTTGTTTTGGGGGATCGCTGGTCCTTCCAATTACCTAGCTAGTTGTTCTCTTTTGAGTGAAGAGTCCAACTGCATAGAGGCGGCGAGACCGCGAAAGACCGCTTTGGACATCAACTAGAGGCATCGACCTCGGTTACTCTCGATACGGTAAGTCAGTGGGGATTCATAAAGGCAGACATGCAGGCAAGAAATTTAGTAGTAGCTTAATTTGCGGACAACAAACCAATCGAGTATATCCCCTCTAGCTGATTAGTAACAGCAGGACACGAACAGCAGTAAAAGTGGCGGCAGCGCAAACAAGCATTGCTTTTCCTTATGTTGTTGCTGATTGACTACTGATCGACCGCGTTTTTGGGACTCTGTTTTTAAAACTATTGGCTCATTCCGTCTATGCCGTGTGCCTCGTTAATTATTTATCCTTTCGTGTTCATCGTCTACGGCGTCGATGTCTTCCTTAGCACTCGTTTTCTCAATCGATCCCCCCAGTCATTTCGTCAGCATTTCAACAACCAATTTGAAACTTAACGAACGTCGCGTAAAGATGGCATTTGACGGCCATATTCAGTCAGCCGAAGACTTTTACACAAAAGAATATTGAAGTTTAAATCGAAACTTAAAAGGCTACTCGGTTTTCCCTTGAGGATCTTTTTGTCGCCACACGTTGTTCACCTACGCTAAGATAATAGAATACGATAGTGATCTATCTATTTATGTATGCATGTAGTCGTAAAAATGACGAGAGGATTTTATAACTTAGGTAGCTGGCAGAAAGGGTTGCTCAGAGTTCCATTTTCGACATCCACCTTCGCCTCGTGGCTTCAGCGAAAGCCGTACGCGAAGAGGTACAGTGGCGAAACGATACTTGGCATTGCAGAAGAGACTGTCACTAGACCGTCTCTCCAGCGCTATTTTAGGGCGAAGAGGGAATCCCGCACCGTGTCGGATCTCGTCCTAGTCAAACAAGTCGACAGACCATTTGATATAACGTGCTTGGTGCGAGGGCAACCCAACAACTAAACTGTACTACTACTCGTACGCGGCCTTCTCTTTTTCCGGGCGGCTGCGCCGGGACAAGGACTCACTTGGTGGATTACAAGGTTAACTCTGTATGAACCTAGGCTAGTCAAAATGAGAGAGAGGGAAAGGGAACTCGAGCGAGCTTTTATAGGACGGGTGGACACTTCCTCCCTTTGTACAGTTTGGCTGAAGGGAACCCGTCTTGTCAGGGTGCGGTTGACTCCAACTCCTTCGGTCAGCCCTCACTGACAACCATTCCCGATTGATCCCGGTTCCTGCAACGGATGATCATCGTAATTGCGCATTACTCTTTCCCTGCTTGAATCTCTCGGTGGCCTTGTCTCGTCGAGGACAAAACTACCACTCAATATTCGGGATTCGATAAAAGTGAACACTCCTGCGGCTGCTATTCCTGCTCCCAAAGCTAGCTGGGAAATCAAGACTGGCGGAGCTTCACATGCAGATTTCTTTAAGGTTGTTCACAATGCCGCTACCAGATTTCGAGGCCAAGATGCTGGTCGGTCGATCAGGCTGCCTGCCTGAGCGCTGCTAGCCGCATTCTTGAAGCACGGTCTGCCAGCGAGATCGTGGCTTCGAGACCAGCCGCACAAGTTGACGTTCAGCTGTGTAATGTCTACATTTTTTCTTCGTTGCAGACATATATGTGCATTATATCATGCCCAATACGTCATATCTTTGACATATATAGAGCATAGAGAGATACGAGTTCACGAGACGGGTAGCGGAAAAGAGTTGAGACAATGACTTGACTCTCTGGTGCAAGGCAAAAAACAGGAGAACGTTTTGCTTCAATGTACAATCGTCGTTGTGTTAACTGTCGAACAGTGCCCATACCTCTTGTGAACAAGATTCTAATACGATATATTCGTAGAATTCATGGAAAATGAAAAACGGGCAGCTGTCATCAGTTGTTATCGTTGGGGGTTCGAAAAAATAGCCGCTATCAGCAAAAGTAAGGGATAGCAACGACTAAGCTAAAATAGCCAGATAGATCTTGTAGTCATCCGGATATAGACGCACAGCCAGCTCGGAGCTACACCAAATTCAATACAGAAAACACCTATACACTATGGTTCCTACGCTTAGTTGCTTAATTTGCACTGCGGGCGATACGAGGATCTTTCCTGAAATGCCTGTTGTCATCGTAATAACTGTGCCTCGCAACTTTGCACACTAATGTCAGCTGTAAAAAGGGAAATAAAGCAGCAGCAGCATTAACAGTAGCCACTGATAACAGTATCGTTTAGAAACTGAATAGAACCGTTTTGCACCAATAACGCGGAGCGGCGACAGTAGCTTGGGAGAAAAGGGGAGACAGGTGACGTTGTTATTGGCTGGGTTGTTCCTGCATAGGTAAAGGCGCCAAATCAATTATTGTTCATCAATCACTCTACGTTTGTACCTGCCTTGTAAGGGTGTCTATGCGTTACGCTACCAACATCAGAACTTATTCTCGGTTGACGACCCTGAAATGGTAAACATCGAACACTATTTACTACGCTGCGGCGTTCTTTTCATACTTTTAAAACCTGCGTCATTACTTGCCTGTAAATCCGAGTGTATGTCAACTCAAGCCATATTCATTTCGCCCAACCGCTGTTTGGGTCATCGCTACCATAATGATCATTGTACTCAGACGTACGTTCTAATGACCAGACTCATATTCTCTATTTAGATAAAGGGTATTTTATTAAGACATTTCCGGTTCCCAGCTAGTCAGCCAGCCAGTCAGACAGCTAATTAGTTACCTGGGTCAACGTCCAGTATAGGTATTTTCGCAGGTGAGATCTATCTGGCCAGTAACGGAATCCGTTTCTATCATATTTAGCCTTTCTATACATTTTTTTTGAGCGAACTCTATATGTGTCTATGGAAAAGTTGCAGAAAACGTGGTGGGCAGCATTCTGTTGAAAAGGTTTTAGAACAGGTTTTTCCGGAACGGAACAGTGAAGTTGTATTTTGTGTGAAGGTCATATACCTATCTAGGTCGAAAACACCTAATATACAACATAGAGATAGTCTCAGTGAGGTTGTTTACCGCAATTAATAGTTTTGTTTATGTCAATGCGCTAAAAAATACACATTTAAATACCTAAAATCGATCATTTGTTGCAAAAATAGCGACATTGGTCGAATGCCAGGCTAACTTAACCTAACACTAGAAACAAAAAGCCCAATATGAATAATGAGCATTGTGACATTGTAGAAATGTATCAAAATGAAAAAATCGGAGCTAAGTTAAGGAAAAAGGCAAAATTTATTGTACTATCGTATACTATATCACCGTATCGCACCGTTGGAACTACCTGTTTTACAATGGAGGGTGTTCTCGATCGATAGTTTTCTACTCTACGTTAATCAAAGGCCGATCTAATCTACGCATATCTATTAAACGTGGGCCGATTGAAGCCTGCTTGCCCTACAATATGTCGAAGACAGAATAAACATGACGACAAAGGTTGAAGGGCAGAAGCAGCAGCAAATTCGGGTTGGTTCAGCCTTATTGCAGAAAATGATGTTGCTTCGTCTGTCAATTATTGTTGCAACTGTCGGGATGGCGTTATCATCTCCGTACCACTTAGAATGTGCATAACGGTAAGTAGAAATAAAACGGCGTCTTTCTGGTGCGTAGTGGCGACCGCGCTAAGAGCCAGTTGAGAATGAACCACTGAATTACCGACCGAGAAACACTATTTGCAATGATTGCATTTAATTACCTTTCAATTGACCGAGCTTTACGTTTACAGTATAGTCAATAAAAAGCCATTCTTTGGTACGCTGCGTTAGAAAGGTCCTTCTTTAGGACCTAATTATCGCTTCACCATTCAGCCTCTGATTCTCATACAATATATCAACTGAATTGATTAACGCTACCGTGCCGTTTCACCACTGACATACAGTTACATTACATCTAGCAATCTAGACCATGGGCAAACAGCGCGGACGAACGCATTCCCATCCCTAACCAACGTGGCCAAAAACGCAACTTAATGATTTCCCTGCTGCCCCAAACACCACCTTCGCAACTACGGCCTGTTTCGATCAGAGGATACCAATGGGAAAGTGTCAGAAACTAAACAACAGGTCAACGTGATTTACAATTCGGGTAGTTAATTGCGTGCGCCTGAATGATCCCGGTGGTGACCGTCGCAACGAAGGTAGCAATGGTAACGTTATAAGCAAACAACGGCGCGACAGCTGAAAACGATTGCGACTAAGGTATTTGGGTTCCGTTTACCAGCACGGTTCTAGGAGTGCAGCACAATAATCCCAGCAGTTCTGCATGAATCGACCAAGGAGAATGGATTGTGTGAAAAGACAGGGACGCGGAGAAGGACAAACATGGAGACAAAATGTGCGACTTACCCAGTGGGTTAGTTACATTTCACGCAAGCACCTTAACCACTGTGGTCCTCTCTTAAAAAGTCAAATGTGCGTCAATATTAGGCGCATCTGAAGAGTGATTGCGAAGCGTATAACCAGCTGCGGTGATCATAACGACATCATCCGTTAGGTGTGCTGCCTGCATAGTTCCTCTCCAATCCGCACAGTAACGCATGTGCAGCTGGCATCTTTCGTGGCTGTCAGCGTGCCATTATGTTTAGCACAAACAGTAGATGATTTTGGATAAATAGTTTATTATTGATGGTATCGAAAACTGTATTTGCTCTCTTAGAGGATTCAATTACATATTGTAAAAATATATCTTTCCGCGCCCCTCTATTAAAATGTCTCAAACGGCGTCCTAAAATTTCGCGATGCTACGTAGAGAGGGGACAGACAGAAACAGACTTGCATTTCTATGTGATTATTATTATTATTATCGAATATATTTATCTGATAGCGACGGAGTCACAGCTTGACCGGTTAGTCGTAAGGGGCCAGCCTCAGTATGGACATTTTTTTAATTTACCTGCCACACTACGGCGATCCGTTGATCTTTTCGGTGCCAAACAATTGTTCGAATTCACGTTTGGCTCCCAGCACTAAGATGCTTCACTACGTTAATGAGCATAATGGCTAATCGTATAGGCTACCTTTTTGCACGAAAAGTACCATAAGGAATATGGACTGCGCCTTCTAGCAGGGACGACTATTTGCAGTTACCA